CTGCTTAGAAGCTGGACTTGACCTAAAGAACAAAAACAGAATACAGCTTAGAAGCTGGACTTGACCTAATGAATAAGGACAGGACCCAGTTTAGTAGCTAGACTTGACCTAACGACCTAGGATAGAACCCAATTTAGTAGCTAGACTTGTCTTAGCGAAAAAGGAAAGGATCCTGCTTAGAAGCTGGACTTGACCTAAAGAACAAAAACAGAATACAGCTTAGAAGCTGGACTTGACCTAATGAATAAGGACAGGACCCAGTTTAGTAGCTAGACTTGACCTAACGACCTAGGACAGTACCCAATTTATTAGCTAGACTTGTCTTAGCGAAAAAGGAAAGGATCCTGCTTAGAAGCTGGACTTGACCTAAAGAACAAAAACAGAATACAGCTTAGAAGCTGGACTTGACCTAATGAATAAGGACAGGACCCAGTTTAGTAGCTAGACTTGACCTAACGACCTAGGACAGTACCCAATTTATTAGCTAGACTTGTCTTAGCGAAAAAGGAAAGGATCCTGCTTAGAAGCTGGACTTGACCTAACGAACAAAAACAGAATACAGCTTAGAAGCTGGACTTGACCTAATGAATAAGGACAGGACCCAGTTTAGTAGCTAGACTTCCAATTAATAACAGGAGTTTTGATGCGTAGCTTCTCTTGAGTGCAACAGATGCAAGAGTGAGATGATTTTGCAGAAGTAACAACGATTTCATAGGTGAAAAAACAAAACAATACTCTAGCATATAGTATCACAATACAAAAATACACTAAAGCATTTGATCAAAGAGTGTATTCATGGAACTGATAAGAGCGAATAAATACTTTATTGAATAAGCTCTTATCAGTTTAATATGTCCCACTGTAACTTAATAAACTAAGAATAGAGGTAAAACCGTAAGTTACGGTAAGTGCAAAGCGGCAAATAAAACTAATCAAACTTCGTTAGATCCAATATCAATTTAAACAAAAGTTTAAGCGTTGCTATAATGCTGAACTAATTCAAAACCTTTTTCAAAACACATTATTCACTTCGTAAAGTGGACGTTACAGCTAAAACAAAATAATGCAGAATTTACTCACTTTAGCTCATTCAATAAAAAGAAATTAATGTTACAAGCCAGTGAAGACTTTTAGAAGTCTTAAGGCTTCTAGTCTAATACGAAAGTGAACATGTAAAATGGAGAAACAGTAGAAACCAAAGATACGGAACACTGCATACAAAAAACTAAACTAAACAAGATCCACCTAAGTTCTATACATTCTAGATGAAATTCGTTCTCCCAAGCTCAAACAATGTCTTAAATATGCTAATATATTCTCAAATTTTTAACACAAGAAAACAATGATCGCTCCTTGCGAGATCAATTAGCGAACAGGCAATACCACCCATGGGTGAGCCAACCATTCGCCGACAAGAATAGCTCCATGTTTAATTAAATACAACGTTGTTATTACTGTAAGAAATCAGATAAGCAGGTTTTAGATTTCACCTAGGACACCGCTTGCCACATAGAGAAAATTAATGTTAGTAACTCACTTTCTGTGTCCGAAAAAAGCTATTAAAAGCAACATAATTTTGAAATTTTTACTTTTATAACTAAAGTAGTGAACATATATTGTACTTCTCCGTACTACACCCATTTAAACGCAAAATATTCTTATGCTCAGATCATAAGGATGTCTTCAGATCGGGAATTTATAATTTCCAAGATGGGATATCCCTTGTATTTAATGTCATTGAAAAAGCAAAATAATATAGATCAAGTTGGAGCACCCAGATAATTCGGAAGGAGAAATGTATCAAGTCGTATCCCAGCCTCGGGAAGTAAAGTGTGGCATCTTGTAACAGATGAGAATCCACAAACACAAAAAACAGAGGTAATAGGCAGCTATGTGTCCCAGGCAACAGTACGCAGCATAATCAAGAAGGATATTTATCTCAAACGGCCAATTTTGATTTTGAGACGTGTGTGGTACAATATCACAGCCAAATAGAAACAAAATATCTGGTTCCAAAGTTGATTTGTAACGCGTTCCGGAAAACTGCTCCGTCCTCGGCCAATATTGTATACTGTACAAAACCTGTGAAGATATCATGTTCCTCTTTATTGTTTATTCGGAAGACAGAACTTATTATTTGCAAAGTGCGCTTTAAGTAACTTAGAATTGTAATTCATCTATCAGAATTACACAATATATTATGTTTTGCACACCAAGAAATGCCCTGGTGTTAAATTCCCAACGACATGTACAATCCAATTAACAGTTTTTAATTTCATTATAACTTTTCACGTATTAGCGAGCTACTATTATAAATAAGATAAATGTTTTATTTCTTGTTTTTCTCCGAAGATTTTGGTTTAGTGTAATTGGCTTTTCCGTTATATTAAATAGGAAACATGTTTTCCAGGTGCAAAAATATTAAAAGGTGCAATCGGCGAGGAACTGATAAACAAATTGAAATACAAAATATTTATATGATATTTTAAGAATGTCCATAATAATTTAATTTCACAAAAGCAACTTATTACCTTGAAGAAATCCTGAGTAGATCCCGATTGGAGGCAGCCATATTGGATAGATGTCTGCTTAGCGAGGTCCTCGGCACTTTCTATCGGCGAAGATAGCCTCTGTACGGTTAGGAAAGCTGCAAGGTTAGCTGTGTACGAGGATACCATGATGAGGGTGAAGAACCACCAGATTCCAGAGACTACTCTCGTAGACATAGCTCTTTGAGTTAAAATAGCTTAAATATAATTTCTTGCATTAACATTTGAACATCGATTTGATTATGTAGTGGTGAATATTTTATATTTTAAAGTTTGTAAAATAAATAAACAGAAACTTAAAAACGTTAGACGAAATAGTGAGTAAGTAAATAAACTTATATAGCTATGTTCAAATTATTTAAATTAAAATTGTTTATCGGTGACTAACATTGAAATCTAATAAACTACGAAAGCCTGATGATGTTAAGCTAATTATTTCGTAGTTCTCTAATAATTATTAGTTAATAGTGAGTTAAAAGTAATGTTGATAATTAAGCAAATGTTCATGGCAATGTTGAAGCAAAAGCATCTATTAATGGTTGGTCATTTTGTAATTTTCAGATAAGAATTTTGTGATGATCAGATATGTAATGGTTAACTAAATCATTCTTTTTTCATGCAGTGATCACCAGTTTAAATGTCTGGCGATGGCCTATTAAATAATCTGGTTAACTAAATTGCATAGGGATTATCAGATTAAATATTTCATGATGGCCCTTAAACATCTGGCATTGCAAGCTAAATCCTCTGGCTAACTAAATCGTAAAGTGATCGTCAGCCTAAACGTATGACGATGGTTCGTTAAATGATCTGTAGTACTAAACTAAATCATCTGGTGACAAAAAGCTATATGATACAGTGATAGCCAAACGGTGCAGTGATGGTCAGCGAATACGTCAAGTAAATCACCTGGTATAGTCAGCAAAAGCAAGCAGTGGCCTTACACTTTTAACATACATTTCAAGACAATCATTTGATGATAAATACTTAATGAGTAAACTTAAGTCTAAATGCTATAAATCCAATAAACTTTTTAAAATGTTTATGAAATGTAAAATCAAATTAGCTTAAAAATTATTGTATTATATATTGTTAAACAATATTTGTGTGTATATAATAAACTCAATTTCTTTTAAGGGCATGATGATGATATATCTGTGTTATGACAGAAATTTTAATGCATCAAGTAGAATTCCAAAAATATTAGTTTATTGAAAAGAAACTGTGTTATGTTCTCGCCTAATTAATTTTACATGAGTATAGGTAGATAAGATTATGAGTTTCGAACACGAACAGCTAGCTTATTTTCTTTGGTGATTAGGTTTTTAACTTTCCTGCACCGTAAGGGCTGTTATACATTCTTCCCAAAAGTGATCAATTCTCGGTGACGTCACATTGCGTACAAAGTTAGAATTTACTTATGAAACATGCCATTTCACCGCTACTTTATACCGGCTATTGATGTCACGTAACCAGATTTCGATCTCGCGATCCGCAGATTGCGAGTCGAACGTCCCATTAGGCCATGCCAGGTATTCTCACTAATTGAACGAGATGTTTAATTTACGGACTACACGGTGTCTCACCAGGGGGAGTTGCAATACCGTATCCTTTAGAATCCAAAAGTCCGCCGATCTGCATAAGATCACAGTTTCTTTCTACTATATATTCAATACTGGTAGATTCCATTAGGAAGGCGTAGTTGCCTTTTTTCACTCGTTCCACACCTTTAAAGTTAGACTCGACGAATACACTTGGTCTTGCAGATTCCATGAAGTTCCACATGCGCTTAAACGTCGGAATATCTGAATCCTATTTAAAGGAAAATTGATTAAACTGAGGTTGTTGTAAATAAGGTTTTAAGAATAAATATATAGTAACGGGATATGGACGCTGAAAAACAAAAATAGGAGTTGGTCTTAATTAAGTGTTTTCTTATCATATAAATCTGTCAGTAATAGAAGGAAAGCTACAATAAATAGAGAAAAAGGACGATGAACTATGCATTAAATAACTTTAACTTACTTGTTTGTGCTACAATATACGCACCAGTTATTAAATGTAATATTAATTTATTTCACACCAAAGAAATGCTTTTTAAATTAAGCTTACCTGCTTTATTTACTTCATTGACGAGAAAGCTCTTTTAAATATGAGACGAAAAGTAGAATAAAAACTCTAATGTATCGAAAAGTACCAGAATGATAGATAATAGAGAATGTTGATACTTACAATACCCAACGTAAAGAAGCTAATAAGCTTTAGCTGTTGGCTAAGTTAATGCGTGAAACGCGTCCCGATTGGTTAAATTTACGAAAAAGTAACTGACTGGTTATATGAATTCTGTCTTAAGCTGGTTAAAATAAGAGCATTTGAAATATATTATAATTAAGGAACTGAAATATTTACTGACAAATTATAAGAAAATGTACTTGTATTGGTAAAGGTCATGAAGCACACTCTGATCGTTTGAATTAACAGTGTGTGAAACTTGTTCTGAATGGTTAGACTACAGATAGCTTAGTACATTAAATTAAACGATTTTGAATTTGCAAATCAGCAAGAAACTGTGATCTTATGCAGATCGGCGGACTTTTGGATTCTAAAGGATACGGTATTGCAACTCCCCCTGGTGAGACACCGTGTAGTCCGTAAATTAAACATCTCGTTCAATTAGTGAGAATACC